TTATTATTATTATTATCAATATTATTATCACGTCTGATTAGTGACAACTGCCCCACGATTGCCCCAATGACTGACATACTCTTGTTTATTTTTTCCCTACAGTAATCTGCGAACCCATCCTACAGCCCTCCAATCTACACTACACTCACCACCACACCGCTCAAAAGATGTCAGCACCGGTCATCAAGACTGCACCGCCCGCAGAGTCGCCGTCCGCCGACGCAGCCACCAGCAGAGGGCAGCAGCAGCAGCAGCCGCCGCCGCCGCCGCCGCCGCCGCAGCAGGCTACCGTCCAGCCGTCCGTGTTTGAGCTGGCGGCGCTCACGACGGACCTCGACACCCACGTCATCACGAGCCGCATCAAGGAGGTGCTGGTCGCGAACAATATCGGGCAGAAGCTGTTCGGCGAGGCGGTGCTAGGCCTGTCACAGGTGCGTAGCTGTCGGCTACTGACGTAGCTACCGTAGCTGTCGTAGCTACCGCTGCAGCAGCTGGCTACCGACGTAGCCGCTGTGGCCGTCACTGCCGGCATAGCTACCGTAGCTACCCCGGTAGCTGTTGGCTACTGGCATAGCTACTGTAGCTACTCCTGTAGCTGTTGCTGCCGGCGTAACCACTGTAGCTATCGGCTGCTAGCGTAGCCACCGTAGCTACCCCTGTCGCTATCGGTTACTGGCGTAGCCACCGTAGCTACCCCTGCAGCTGTCAGCTGCCTGCATTGCAACCATAGCTATCTTAGTAGCTGTCAGCTGCTGACATAACTTAGCTATGGGCGTGGCTAACAGTTACTGACATAGCTCTGGATTGCTAATGTGGCATAGCTACTGGGACAGCCTAGCTCCTGGGCGCAGATTATGACACCAAGCGTGGGTCTGCTATATACCCAGCTTCTGGCATAACTCTTGAGCATTGGCTTAGTTCTTAGTTACTGGCATAGCTCTTGACTACTGGCTTAGCTTTCTAGCTACTGGCAAAGATCTTTGCTGCTGGCATAGTGCTTTGTGTCTGGCTAAGCAATTCGGTACTGGCATAGCTTTTAGTTAGCTACTGTTACAGCTGTTGTTAGTAAGTCCTAGCGTCTAAATAATATCATGATTATCTATAATATAATGATTTATATATATATTAGTCGAGTAACTGATATATGTACTCGTACATGGGTGGCCAGGTGTATTCCTACTTAGGCACTCCACTAAGGCAGTGGTGTTAGCTGCGTGGCGTGTGTGTATGTGTGTATGTGTGTGTGTGTGCGTGCGTGCGTGCGTGCGT